TCATCTGTGTTAAAGGGGCAAATAGACAGCTTGTTTCAGTGTGTGGGCTGAGTGGCTGGACCAAGGCCTGCGGGAAGATGAATAAAGATTATTTTGAATGGGAATACAAAAAACTAAACAGTAACTTCCTGTTAAAGGGAGTTTTTCCTTCCCACTGTCACCAAAGTGCTTGCTGATAGGGGGTCATGTGATTGTTGGGATTTTCTCTGTATTATCGTAGGCTCTAGCTTACAGGATATGATTGACTGATGCTGGCGCTGTATAAATAAAACTGAATTGAATAAGGGGGGAATAAGACCACCTTAATTTACCTGGAGGATTTTCCTACGTGTTTCCACGCTCAGTGGGTCAGGCATCTGGCATAAACATGCTCAGTAATTAATAAAAGCCCACAGGACCGTAGTGTTTGCAGCAGAGGCTGATGTGCCTGAGGAGCTCCGTTTTATGGCTGGTAATACGCGGGGCTTGACCTTTGTTCTTCAGTGATTAAGCTGAGATATGAGAGAGAGGTCGACCTGCTTTCTTTTCCAGTTAGAATCCGCTCTGCTGGCGCCCCTACAGACCTACAGTCAGGTTGCATAATCAATAAATCCGCGGTATGGATCAGTCACATTGTTGCTCTCTATCGTTCCACTTTGGCCCCCCTGTCTCTGACTCTGGATCTCCACCTCCCTCCTCCTCCTCTCCGGTGTCCGCTCCCTGACAGCCCGGCTCTCTCCGCGGGGCGGGCATAGGCATGACTGTGAGCCAGCTGTTACTCACAGGAGCCCCGGCAGCAGAGGAGCACTCCGCGGACAGACGCGTGGGGAGGAGGCACACAATGGACAAAGATCCCGGTGACTGTGGACTGCTGCTTCAGTGAGCGTGGACACAGGGACAGCTCCTGCAGAGTATACTGGAGTCTGCACCGCACCCCAATACACGCGCGGGATTGTTCCGCAATAAAACCCAGACAAACGGACAAAAACACGTGGCTTTTATTTAAAGGACCTCGAGCGATGAAAACG